CCTTGGTGGTGATCTCGGAGCTGGTGTCCACGGCCGCGTCTGACATGGTGGGGCACGCTGGTGGTCCGGTGCAGCGGGTGAAAAAGAAAGCGAGAGTTCGGGGACTCTAGCGAGACAGCTGCCCGAGTCCGCGGCGGAGGCGCGCGGCGGAGGTGGCTGCGGCGAGCGGGGAGCCGGCCCAGGAACAATGCAAAGATGGCTTTTCAGAGCAGCCAGTGGGGGACTCACGCGGCGCCAGAACCTTTAATATAGATTAGTGGGCGGCGCTCGGCAGCCCTTGCATGAGTTCTATTGGCTGAATGGAGGGAGCGGGCGTTCGCTCATTGGCTCGACTCCGAACAATGGACAAGCGTGCTTAAAGCGGCAGTGCCTCGGCGGTGCCCGCGCTGCGCAGTCGCCGGGCGCACTGTCATTCAGGGTCTAAGTTTACCGGGTCTCGGCGCCGGCGCTGAGGGGGAGGGGCGCGCTCGTGCTCAAGGAGCGCGCTCCCGCCGCTGTTTTGCTGGGGCTGCTGACGCAGAAAACCAAAGCGCGGCAAAGCCGCCCGCCCAGCCCCCGCCTCCCCCTCCCCTGCTCCTCGGAAGGAGTGGGAGGTACGAAGAGGCGGCGGCGGGCGCACGACGGCTGCCAGAGGGGGGGAGGGGAGGGGACGTGACGCTGGGCCCCGCGCCTGGGCACCTCGGACCTAGAGTTGTCCTAGTGCAAGTGCACCTAAGTCCACGACGAGTGATGAGGTTGCGAGGCTGAGACCCGCACGCCTGGGCCGCCCCGTCCGCCCCCACCCGCGGCTCAGGCTCCCCGATTCCGCGGGAAAGATCGCGGTAGCCCAGCGCCGGAGCCGACGACGAGCGGGCACCGTGCCAGGCACACCTTCGGGGACTCGTGCACTGTGCGGACGCGATGGCCAGCCCTCGAGCGGGGCAGCCCGCGGGCCGCGCAACGCGTAGCGGTCCCCGCAACCCAGGGCTGGACAGCTTCCGCCCCGCGCGGTCCCCGCCGTCGCGACAGCCTCTAGGCAGCCTCCATCCAGGGGCGCGCCCCGCCATCGAGGGCACCCCCCTGCATCACACTTAGAGCCTTCGAGGGGCACGTGAACACTGCAGTTACTGGAGGGAATCACTGTCTCTTTGGCCAACTGGGCGAGTCCTTGGGGGCTCCTTCAAATTTGGGGAGCCATTTGAGGAACCACGCGGAGCCCTGAGAAGGGAACCATGGAAACGCCACACTCAAGATGGCTTCGGGCTCGGCGAACGTGGCGTGACGTGGCGATACAACCCACGTAGACAGATCCAAACTGTATTCTACGCCTCCTCGTCGCCACTGCACTTCGGAGGGTTGAACTGAAATTTGCTCTGTGAGAGGAAAGACTAGAATGAGTAGAAAGAAATGTAACACACACGCACACAAAAAAAACCGTGCCACACACAAAATGGTGACAGACAGGGTCCATTCCCATGTGGCCAGAAGGGGGCGCCCGATGCGGAAGGCGGGACTCCGGGGAGACTGGTACGCATTGGCTGAGAGTGGCGGGCGAACACAAAGTTGACGCTTTGCGCCCTGCCATTGGCCATTCCTGCCGTCTGTCTCCTGAGGGCGCTGATGTGGGAATGGGGAAAACCCGGAGTCAGGGATCGAGGACCGCGGGCGGGTGCTAAGCCTAGCAAAGCTTGAAGTCGAAGCCAGGAGAGACCGCGTCGCCTTTCACGGCTTCTTTGGGGTCAAAAGCGAGCGTACCACCCCCACCGCGCGGCCCCTTCCGGGGCTTGGCACGCGCTCACTCCGCGGGAACAAGGGCCGCCGGGTCGAGGCGCTACCCGCGTGGGCCCCCTCGCGCCGTCCCCACTGCGCACGCATCGCGCCCGCACCCCCGCGCACACGTGCCAGGCGGGCAACCGGCCTGTTAGGCTTTGCCGAATGACTTTTGGGGGCAAGACCGCGCTCCCAGTCCTTCGGCTTGAAAAATGTGGGGCAGGTGCTGGGCGGGGCACCGCGCCCCCTCCCGCGGTCGCCAGCCCCGGATGGCTGCAGATGGGATTCGCTGGGCACGGGCGCGCTCCTGCCCTGGGGCCCTCACCGCGGGGTCCCCGGGGACCACCCATGGGACTCTTTGCTCCTCCCTCACCCGACGCCCGCGGGCTTGGGCCCGCCCTGCACGACCGAGAGGGTTGAAGCGCCCGCCCGTCACCGCCTTTGTGCCCTTCTCCGAGCGGTGGGGGCACCGTGCGTCACGGTCACCCGGAGGGACAGCGCCTTCTGCCTGCGGCGCATCCCTTCAGCTCCCGTCGCTCCTGGGTTGGCGGCCGCAGATCCCAGGCGCAGCGAGCGCTCGGACGTGCGCCAAACCTCGGCGGCCAAGTTTCTCCCAGCTGTGGGTGGCCGTGGGCGCTCCCGTGGTGTCCACAGCGGCCGACTGGATGAGCCTGTCCCGGATGCTGCGGTGGGGCGGAGCGGGGTGAATGTGAATTTCCCTCGAGGAGCTGCTTTGCCTGCCCTTGTTCCTGCGCAGCCGGCCTGGCCACGAGTGGGTGGAGAAGGCTTGTGCCCACCTGGTGGCAGAACCACCGCTGACATCCCCCAAGCATTTATCGAGCACCTCCTGTATGCATGGTGGCAAGGCCTGGGCTCAGGCTTCAGGCACTCACGTTTATTCTTATAGAGAGGTAGAACAATTTCGGATGGGGTTGAACCATATAAAATGATGCTTTTGTAGCACCAAAACAATTGAAAATCAATATGGTGGCGCCCTCCTTTCAAGTCCGAACGGCAGAGCAGGGGTGATAAGGCAGGACTTAGAGCTACAGAGTGATCAGGGGCGTGGCCTGGGTGAAATCCTGGAATGGGGAACCCGCCTTATTAGAGGAGCACGGACTCCTCAGGGCCACAGGAGGGTAGCGCCTGACATCCGGGACCTCTGGAGTTACTGCCTTCCTCCTGTGACAAGTGACTGCGTTGGCTGTCCCTCCTGCCCGTCATTTGCACTCATGGATACTCACGGGCAGCAGTCTGGACACTGCCTTGGCTTGACCTTCAAACCTTCCAGGAGGAGCTGGTGCTGGTCAGTGCCGGGGCCACCTCCCCCGCATCTGTTCACAGGCAGAGGTGTGCTGGGGTTGGCGGCAGAGTAAGGTTTGTTTTGTTTTGTTTTGTTTTGTTTGAGACACACAGGGTCTTGCTATGCAGTTCAGGCTAGTCTTGAACTCACTATGTAGCCCAGTCTGGGCTCCA